CTAAAAAACTAATTTTGTTTATTTTTTTTAATCTTTGGCAAATAACGCAAAATTGTAAAAGACTCGAAAAAAACAAATCCATAAAAATTTAGATTTTTTTCTTGCGCTATTAGAATTGCGGGATAACCATAGCACAAAAAAATATTTGCCAAAAGATTTAAATTCTAGAAACCTAAAGCTTCAAGATGTTTTTTTTTTAATCTAGAAACGACCATTTTTCGATGTGTTACAGCCTTTTAAAAATCACCAAAAAATTTGGGAAAATTTTTTGTTCCTCTAATTTTTTGGAGTAGTATAGTATATTACAATCGAGTAGAGAAACAACGAGTATACAAACCGAGATTTGTATACTATTTATTCACAATCACTTTTTTTAAATAATAAAATATCCATTTCTCTCTCAGAGTTGATGCAAGGATATAGTTAAGTCCATTGAGTTTTTGACATTTGATTTCCCGACCACGGATTGTAATGACAAATTTCCCGACCTCCAAAAAGTTTAGGAATCTTCATATTAGGAATAATAGTTATTTACATTCGCGTGTTGTAACTGATATTTTATAAGGCGAAATTAATTTGACAAAATTTTTAGATATTAGTGTTCGAAAAAAAAATACTATTTTAAGTTTCTTGTTTTTCATTATTTTACATTTCAAAACGCATCAACTTTTACAACAAATTTTATTACCGTGGTTTTCTTGATGTAGTTGTTAAATAAATATTGCTACTTTTTAACAGGCCTTAAACATTGCAGAATTACACAGTTATTACCACTTTAGGGAGTTAATGGATTTACCATAAAATTTCAATAAACATTATACTTCTGATAAATCGCTACTTATTAAAATACAGTTTTTGCTAATCTACGTCTAATTAGTTACCTACAAAAATGTAATACTCGTATTATTCACAAGAGTGATTAGTAAAGATGGGACCGCAAATGCACCCGGTGTGTAAGACATTTTACATTTTGGGCCAACTCCTTGGGAAATCTATTTATTATTTATTATTATTAAATATATTTATCTATTTTAAACATGGCTAGTTCTAAAATGGCTAAGAATCAATTAAAAATTATAAGAAAAATTCTGAAAAAATTCACAAACAGAAAAAAAAAGTATTTAATAGCAAACACTGAACTTTGTATGATTATTATTTTCGAAATGTAGTAAAAATGTACTTTTAACAGCTTGTTCGTTATTCCCAGTTTTTTTTTCAAATCATAATTAAAAATAGTTCTCTCAGAACTCCAGATTTAGAGTTCACGCTAAAGTATGTTTGAAAACATAATCATTTTCTTTTTGTTGTTCCTGTTTTAGATTAATGGAATTAATGGCAATTTTAATAAAGCCAAATTATTTTCTCGAAAGCAAATAGTGCATGTTTTTGGTATTAAAACTACACCTACAAAGGGATGAAACAGGGTATTAAACTTTTTATGGAAAAAAACTCCCTGAAAACCTCTGAAAGAGGGTTCTTTAAAAATAAAATTTTAACTATCTTAACCTCACTTTTAAAGCCTTTTTCACATTTAAAGCCCGGTTTACACAACCATGGCCAATTTCAATGAAATTAATCATAATTATTGCACTGTTAATATATTTACATCTAATTGACATAATTTTTTTTAACATACAGAAATTTAGATTAAGTCCACTCGGACTGTCGTCCTCGTGTACTAAAAACATTGATTTTTCCGCAGGTGACAGACCGTTCTGTTGCCCGATGCCCAACTGCCGTCGGCGCTTCGCCACCGAGCCCGAGGTGAAGAAGCACATCGACAACCACATGAACCCCCACGCGGCGAAAACGCGTCGGGACTCCACCGGTTCCGATGGCAAATTAACAGCAAACGGTATGCTACCCCGCGGCCTCACCCCCACGACGGTGGTCAAACCCGAGCTGTACTTCCCGCAGTGTTACGCCCCCAGCTTTAACCCTCCAACGAGCGTAGCCCAGTTTCAGGCTACCAACCCGGAATTCAAGCCGCCCAATGCTTTGCCGACCCAGTGACTAACGGCGAGCTGGCAACTGGGTCCGTGTATTGGGTGACCCTTTGCCAGTCTATGGACTGAACCCGACACTTAGTTGCAAGCTTAACGGACTCATCCTATAGTTAAGTTATATATTTATTGGTGATTTCAATGAAATATCCACGGGGTATTTTGCTGAGTGATTATCACATGGTGCTGAGAACCACTACACTGGTTCACTGTAACATACGGAATGTAGCACTTAACGCGATAAGTATACATACTATAAATATAAATGTAAAAGTATTTTAAATTTTATCCAGACGTGTCCTGTTCACATAGTGGCAATACTTTAAGAACAAAGTACTTTTTAAGAACGCGAGGCTGAGACCTGGCCAACGACAAATAATGACATTTGAAATGTCAAATTGTGGTTAGGTCACATGTTAGAAAACAATCAACCAATCATGAAACTTGAATTTTTTTCAATTAAAAAGAGAGCGCACGATGTGTGATTTTTGAGCTTGATTTCGGGCCCTTGTGGCTTTTTTGCTCACTAAATCGGCTTAAACGGAAGAGTTTTGATTCAATTTTCGTTTTTCATCGCCTTTTAGCACCCACACTTAACCGTTTAAGTGGAGTAGATCCTGCAAAATCACGACAAAGACAGACATATTGAAAAACAATGTGTCAATTGACACAATAAATCACTCGTTCCCAGCTCTCAGTCTAGTGTAACTTTATTGTTGTAGTTAGATTTTACTCTTATGTGATCTCTTTAATGTAAATTGGCAAGAGAGAATTATAGAACTGTTTGACGGGTTCTAACAGTTTTGCGCAACGTAAATCCTCTTCACTTCTCCATCAACAGAAAAATTTCGTTCAAGTGATTTTTTTACAGATTTAAATGTTATAAACACACTAATAATAGGGGTGATGGTGTGAAAAATCATTCTTTATATTATCTACAGTTTTTATAAACATATACATTAAGAGGTGAAACTTTTTATAAACGGTCTACACACCTTTGCACAAACAGAAGTCGAATTGTGGTTAGGTTTGTCCGCGATGAGGTGCACCGCGTGACCAAAAAGCACTGTTTCAGTTGGCAACAATGCGTCTTGATCACGTGGTGCAAATTTTAGAATTTAGGCCCCGTCAAAGCTATTGTAATGAACTAATGACCAAATCGTTTTTTGTAAATGTATTTGTTTATATAGATTATTTGTATACGATTACTTTAGTGAAAAAGATATATTGAACTGTTTAGGATTTGAAAGTGGTGTGCAGGCCTACCTTTTTTCACTTTGATCACGGCTGTAGCAGCCGATTTTGTTGAGCTACAAGACTTATATAAAACGTGATAGCATTTAATTAGTTGTAAGCCTTTTTATGTATATAATTCAATTTTTAAATCATTTTTACTCAAATGTGTAATAATGTAAAGAGATAAGACGAGATTAAGTGATTGTGTGATATCCCAGTTGGGTCACTTTCTATACTCTACCGTTTTTCAAACTGACTCTGCTTCAAATCAACTTCATCAGCGGCAAGACTGACACCAAAGACTTTGAAATAATTTCGGTTTGCAATTAATATTTGAGTTGGACGTGTCTCAGCATTCCCAAACCATTCCATTTGTTCCATTTGTCAGTTTGAAAAACGGTTAAAAAGTCGAAATTTTCATTTGCCGGCGTGCAACTGCAATAATTTAACTTCCATTTCGATAGTTACGTAGTTTAACTACTCTAAAATACTCATATATGTAGTAATAAGGAATATTGTACTAAGTGCAGCTAAATCCGTGTTTGCTAATTTTAGTAAACTGAGATCTCTTAGAGTGGAAATGGTGTAAAACTATTTGTTAAGTGCCATAGTCTATAACTATTGTAAGGGTTTTTGTTATGTTTTGTTACACTGCATTTTAGTATTTTCGCGACTCACTCTACAGTGTTTCTTTTTTTTTAAAGTTTATAGTGAGACTGAGGTGAGAAACATCATCGTTTTAATTCGCTAAGGGTTTGTCAATTTGCCAAGTGATATTTACTTAGAGAATCAAAATTTAAATCAGTAGGATCAGAAAACCAACCAAAAGACTGGGATATTAATGAACAGGGTTTTTTAAATTGTCTTGTAAATGTTTTTAGTTAGTCAGAGTGTTTGGACAATTGGTGTCTTCAAAACGCCCGCATTTCTGTTCGTAAGACAATCTTTAAAGAATCAAATGCTGTGTTTATCTTATAGGTTTTGTTTTTGATTTATTTCTTTTCAAGTATTATTCGGTTTGATGATCTATAAGATAAACATGAAGTACTCAAAAGTTTATCCAGTGGTATATATGTGTTTATAAATCGGAACTATTTTGCGTCCAACGTACTTTGAATAAGAGAATCATTTCAATTTTTTTACTACAGCTACTCAACAGTAACCTCAATAATGCCATTACACAATGACAGTTACTAAATGCTCAACCAATGTACAATAGTCGTATTTTTTTTAAACACATGCAATACAAGTATTTGCTCAAAAGTACAAATACTGTAAATAATAGATACCGGAATTGTTTTATATTATAAATATTATATTCTAATAGAAATATATGAATTGATTCTCTTTGTATTGCATATTAAATAAATATGAATGTATTTGTTAAACCCAAACTTGTATTTCTCTCCCACCATGCGATTTTTTCTTCCATTTTTGTAACCCAAAATGACTGTGTCTGTTGGCAACGCTGCATCCGGTTATGGTTTAATTGACAGATATTTAACGTGAAAAATTGTAGGTTATGTAACATGCCATTCCTATAAACTCTTTTTAGAAAAACTGATTTGAGAAATTTAATGTTTTGAATAGTATTGTCATGCGCAGGTGCCAATCTCAGGTGACCGGAAGAGATACCATTTAAAAATTAAATTCAATATAATGTACAATTGGTTTAATAAAAAACGGGACAAGCTATTTTACATCATGTAAATCTGACGTCTGACTGTAATGAGTGACAAAAAGTGTCAATTCATTTTTGACACCGCTAATTTTCCGTCAAGTTAACCTATCTTTTTATCAAGTGTTTTCTTTGTCATAATATTTTAATCTCGCTATTTAAATTCCGTAACAATCTATGAAAAACAGAGATAAAATGACTGTCATTGTCCCGTTTTTTATGAATCCAATTGTACAGTTAGTACATGCGTGTGAATCAATTAATAATTCGAAAGACGAACTTATGGCTATCTCTTTTCAACATATTTGTGTAAGGTCGGTCACGCTATTTATCTCACTCTCACTTTAGCAAATGCGGTTAAAGTAACGCAGGGCTAGTGACGTATGTACATTGGCGGACACGGAATTTTAGACGATTTGTCATTCGACTGACAAAAATGTAAAACGGCCTTTAGGTAAGTAACCTCACTTTCGGTTTTTGTAATTGTTATCCTGAAAGCTAGAGAAAAAAATAAAACAAATCGAAATACATAATTTATCGAACTTATTGTCGGAAAATCGACGCAAAAATAAATTAGCGTAAATCAAACTATCAAATTTTATTGAGATGAGATTTGTAATAACTAAAAAGCATTAATATTTTGTGTAATTTCTATTAGCAGCTATTACTGCTCTTAGTCTCCTAGACATAGAGTGTATAAGATTTTTAAAACAATTTTCTCAAGAATAATTGACAAATCAAAGTATAAATTACAACAAAACAAAAATTAAAACGACATTTTGTACGAGATTTATGCGACTAAAACTGTACGTCGAAAGTGTATCTGGCGTTAAATAGCTCATTTGCAATTTCATTTTCAATATTTAAACCCTCATCATCCTAACAGTCGTAATTCAAGCCCTATAAAAACCTAATACCAGGAATTTTTGACTATCAAAATGTCAGAAGCTGTCAAATGTCAATAACAAACGGAAGGCATGTCGTGTTATTGATTCACATTTCCCCCACCAGCAAATAAAAAAAATGGACTTAACAAATTTTTATCCAAGATAAACGGTTTTTTTGTGCCCGTGGGACTTTTTGCACTCCAGTGAGATAAAAAGGTCTTTTTGTCAAGTTAGCGCGGAAGATAAAACGTCATAATGACAAGTGAGAAATGTCAAATTGATTTTTTTGTAAATTGTGACATGTGATACACGATTTGAGTGCCCAAATACCAAAATATATCATTTAAGAAAGTTTTGAGAAGTTTCATTGGATAATTCACCGCTTAGACCTATTTTTTTATTTTTTATTTTTTTTTTCACATTTTGTTAACATCCGGACTGCCTTGTGACATACGTCCACAAGAATTTTTTAAATATTTTTAAAATCATCCTCATAACAATCGTAATTCGAGCCTTATAAAAACCTACTTCCAGGAATTTTAGTACCAGAATGTCAGAAGCTATCAAATGTCAAAAACTAACGAAAGTCATGTCGTGTTAATTCTGAGATGCGACCGTGATTTGAGTGCCCAAATACCAAAACATATCTTTTAAGAATGTTTTGAGAAGTTTCATTGGATAATTCACCGCTTAGACCGATTTTTTAATTTTTTTTTACATTTTGTTAAAATCCGGACTGCCTTGTAACGTCCAAAAGAATTTTTAAAATATTTTTAAACTCATCATCATAACAATCGTAATTCAAGCCCTATAAAAACCTATACTCTTTTTCATATCAATGTGCATCAAGTAGGTTGTAGAAGTCTAAATGCATCTTTAATTTAAAGGCCAATTCACACAAAAAGTGTCATTAATGTCATTCAGAACAAATTTAATCACATTAATAATGACAAATTACATTGTTCATTTTAATTATTTTTTGCTACCTCAAAAACTGGGGTACACATATTTATTTGAGAAAATAATTTTTAGAGAAGATTTGATTGGAATTGTTTAAATTTTCGCAGGGTTGCCACCTTAAAATGATCCCTTTCAATAACTACTTCGATGCACATTAATATGAAAACGATTATAATTCCAGGAATTTTTGAGTACCAAAATATCAGAAGCTGTCAAATGTCAAAAACAGATGGAAGTCACGTCGTGTTATTGATTCACATTTCCCCCACCAGCAAATAAAAAAATGGACTTTTCTTAACAAAATTTTAACCAAGATAAAACGTCGCCGATTTTTTGCATTGCAGTGCGATTTAAAAACGTCTTTTTGTCAAGCTAGCGTAGAAATTTAGAACGTATGTCTACGGAAGATTAAATGTCACAATGACAAGTGAGAAATGTCAAAATGTTTTTTTTGTAAATTCTGAGATGGGACCGTGATACACGATTTGAGTGCTCAAATACCAAAACATTTATCTTTTAGGAATGTTTTAAGAAGTTTCATTGGATAATTCACCCCCTAGACCGGTTTTTTAATTTTTTTTTTCACATTTTGTTAACATCCGGACTGCCTTGAAACATACGTCCACAAGAATTTTTTAAATATTTTTAAAATCATCATCGTAACAATCGTCATTCAAGCCCTATAAAAACCTAATTCCAGAAATTTTTGGGTACCAAAATGTCAGAAGCTGTCAAATGTCAAAAACAGACGGAAGTCATGTCGTGTTATTGATTCACACTTCCCCCACCAGCAAATAAAAAAATACACTTCACTTAACAAATTTTTAACCAAGATAAAACGAGCCGATTTTTTAGATTTAAAAAAAGACTTTCTGTCAAGCTAGCGTAGAAATTTAGAACGCATGTCTACGGAAGATAAAACATCATATTGACAAGTGAAAAATGTCAAAATGATTTTTTTGTAAATTCGGAGATGCGACTGTGATACACGATTTGAGTGCCCAGATACCAAAACAAATCTTTTAAGAATGATTTGAGAAGTTTCATTGGATAATTCACCGCTTAGACCGATTTTTTAATTTTTAATTATTTTGTTTCACATTTTATTAACATCCAGACTGTCTTGTGACATACGTCCACAAGAATTTTTTAAATATTTTTAAAATCATTATCATAACAATCACCCTATAAAAACCTAATACCAAGAATTTATGAGTACCAAAATGTCAGAAGCTGTCAAATGTAAAAAAAATAAACGAAAGTCATGTCGTGTTATTGATTCACATCATTCACACTTCCCCCATGGACTTTACTTAACAAATTTTTAACCAAGATAAAATGTGGCCCATTTTTTGATTCCAATCAGATTTAAAAAAGTATTTCTGTCAAGCAAGCGTAGAAATTTAGAACGTATGTCTACGGAAGATTAATGACAAGTGAGTGTCCAAATACCAAAAAATATCATTTAAGAATGTTTTGAGAAGTTTCATTAGATAATTCACCGCTTAGACCAGTTTTTTAACTTTTAGAAAAAAAATTGACATTTGTTAATATCCGGAATGCTTTGCGACATACGTCCACAAGAATTATTTATTTTTTTAAAATTATTGACAGACTATGGCGTTATATCGGGTTTGAACAATGAAACGCATTCAACTCTTCTAACTGTTTGACAATTTAATAATAGAATTCCATAGTGGTAGAAACATAAATTATAGATGAAATTAACCATGATTGATGCTTACATATCCATCTTACAGTAATATTTACAACGAAATCTCCTCGGGGTCACTAAACATTCCGATTCTTTTATGAATATCCACAGGCCGTACCGCGAAATAGTACTTATTTTTATCAGCAAACTGCGTCAAAGTGCACGCCATTGGAAGCGCTAACGCCTTCACATCACCCACTTTCCGCCACATGTCCGTACTAGGCGACGCACTAGTCTCCTGATATGCATATAACTGATAACTGGCTATAACTTCGTACATGTCCAGCTCATAGGGCATTTTCCACTGAAGAATAATTCCCGTATCTGTTTTTCTAATAGTCAAGTGTGGCTTCGGTGGTATAGGCTTGAGGGGCTTATCGGCCCCAATTCGAATCAGTGGTGGTACCGGCAGTGGGGCAGGATGCTTATTTGGCATTTTGATGGCTTTAGTCGCAGGAACGGGCTTTAACTGTATGGTATTCCCCTGTTTCGGGATGACAGACACAGCAGACCCGTTCAAAGTCGAAGCTAAAACAAAAAATCAAGTAACTGTGTAAAAAAACACAAAAAACGTACTTAAAACACCATTGGCTGATTGGAAGTTGACAACAACCGCTTTTTGCCCCAAAGTCGAATTCAAGACATTTTGGGGCGACGATTGCACAACATACATCACTTGGGGGGCACTTGACGTCACAACTGAAGTGATCGGAGTCACTTTCCCATGCGAAGTCGCTAATCTAATCCCTTGAGTAGGTTGTGCATTCACTCGCATTGGGGTTGGTCTCAAAGGAACTGCAACATTTTTCTGAACCATTTTATTCGGCGATTTATTTTTATCATCTTCATCGGTTAAATCGATGACCGAAGCTGAACCACCCCCTTGCTTGCCTCGAACTACTTGAGGGGGAGTCTTGGGGGTGTCATTGACTCTTCGTAGAGCTTGCGATAGTAAAGGAGTGACAGGTTTGGACTGCTGTTGAGGTTTCTGAGGAGTTGTAGCCTGAGAAACCAACAAAAACGTACACTAAATATGCAAGATTGATAACTGACTTCGTGAAGCTACTTACTTGGCGATTTGGGGGGTTTTGGACTGGGGTAGGGGCACTTCGAGGACTTCTAGCTGCTGGAACTGGAACTGGAACCTTCTGGTTCGGAACTGGCGGATTTGTTGTTGCTCTTCGTTTAGCTTCAAAACTTGAAACTGGAGTGAATTTCACTTGTAATCCCACCGATCGAGTGATTTTCAACGGACTTAAAGGTTTCTGTGTTGTATTGTGTTGTTTCAAATCATTCATCAATTTCTTATTTACGATTTCCAAATCGCGGGCTTGTTTTGTAAGTTGGAGGATTTCCTTCCTCATTGTCTCAATTAGTTGTTCTTGGACTTTTAATTGGTGGTGAACATCACCTAAATCACTCTTATGGACTATAGCCTCGCAAATTTTTTGCACACAAAACTCCTCTAAATCATGCATTGTTGGTTTTTTCTTAGTTTTCATAAACTCGGATAACGAAAGCAGTGTTTTTAATGGCAGTTTTTCCTGAAACTCATCATCTGTTCGGGATTTTTTCGCGATCCCATGCTCCCCCTCCTCAGAATTGACCCTTTTTAGCGACCTCCGTTTCTGATCAGCTGTCAAGAAGTTTTAACTACTGAACTACACCCTTAAAATCCTTACCTTCACTATCTTTCTCCTCTTCTTTTTCTTCCACTTCCCCATTCATCAACTTTCCGGTAACTTCATCCAACCTACACTCGTTCTCACTCTTATCAACATTATCACAAATTTTCTCCTCACTGTTAGTAGTCTCAGTCTTATTTTCACTTTCCCCATCACTAGTTTCTTTCACACTCTCACAATCCAACTTAGTTTCTTCAATTTCCAATTCTTGTCGTTCAATTTCCATTTCTTCCACGACTTCTATCTCTTCAGCTGCTTTCTCATTGGTAGCATCATCTTCAACCTTTCCGTCACTATCTTCGTTTTCTTCAACTGGATGTGCTTCATTGTATGCACTTTCTGCATTATCTTCAGCTGCATCTCGAATGATGCTAATGTCAAACAAGTCTTCGGAATCTTCATTTTGTAGCTTGGGGGAACTACTGGAATTATCACTTTTGGGTTCTTCAACGACTGGTGGACAAGTTTTGTCATTGTTTTGTTCTTCTTTTTCCTCAAGACTGTTTATTAGACCGTTCACTTGTGCGGATAACTTGTCTGCTTCGATTTCTTCACCACCAGAGGGGCTAGTTGGCTTTTCAGCCACACTCTCACTTGGACTATCGGTTTCTATACCATTTGGAGTATTTTCGATAACCTCTTCACTTTGAGATTTCACTTCTTCGTTTTGGGACTCTTCATTTTCCAAACTCTTCTTCACTTTCTTCTCTTCATCTTCATCATTTAGTAATCGTTCTTCCAATTGCGCATCAATGTTGTCAGTTGGTGTAGCCGAGTTTTCGAATTTATTCAAGATGTCTTCCTCTGTTTCATCTTTCGCCGGTTCTTGAAATTCTGAAAAATAAAACACATTTTTCTATTTTGCGTCTATAACAAGTCTAGTTTTCCGGTAAAAGCAATACCTTGAACAATGATATCGTTGTAAAAATCACTAGTGACCGTAAAATAACTATTAATGGTGCACATGCCAGAGCACCCAGGCAAGTTCGAATCATGACACGTGTCGTTTTCTGATTTAATATAAATCTCGGGTTTCCACGTGTCATGTCGTTTGACTAGTAACATGTTACCGAACCGATTTGCCAAATGGGTTGTGCTTGTGCGTTTGAAACAATGGCCAGTGTAGAGTTCTGGATTGGGTAGTTTTAAAAAAGCTGCGATTTCTTTGGGTATTTTGCCCATGGTATTCACACCAATTGGGCTATGGACACAATGTCCATTCCGATAAGTGAGAAAAAATCGTTTATGTGCGACTATTGAAGGCCTTAAATCGGCGTATTTCTTAATTTTGAGTATGCAGTATTCATCTGTTATTGTAAAAATTCGAATTGAACTGGTTTTTGTTTGAGGGACTGAGACTATTATCGAATTTGGTGTAAACTCAATATCGTCAATTGACATATTGGTTAGTTCCTCTCGTCTACAGGCCCCGTGATATCCCATAATCAAAATGACCTAAAATTAACACCATTTGTACAAAAACAATACAAGGTTTAAGCCTACTTTCATCGCCAAGTACATTCTATCATCGGCTTCTTGTAAAAATCTATGAATGTCTTCCTCTTCCAAAGTGTTTGATTTTTTTGGGCTATATCCTTCTGACGTGCATTTTAACAAGGCTTGAAGTCGACTGTACTTTGAAATATCAACATGTTTATACAAGCTTAGACAATGTCTTAACATCGAAAAGGTGGACCATAGAGTCGATGGCTTGTATTTATTTCGTTGTAATTCAAAATATGAAAGCAAAACATCTTCGGATATTTCTTCGCTTTCGTTCTCCTTACACCAATCCTTGAATTTTTTATATTGTTTCTGGTAAGTAGCATACGATTTTAGATTGTCGACGGAAATTGCAGCTTGTAGTCGATTATACTTTGAAATGTCAACATCTTTATACAAACTTAGACAATGTTTCAAAATTGCAAATAAAGTTGACTTGTTTTTATCACATTGTAATTCAAAATATGAAAGCAAAACGTCTTCGGTTATTTCCTCGATTGCGTTCTCCTTACACCATTCCTCAAACTTTTCATAGACAATCTCCTTTGTTTCTGGGGATTGAGATGACGAGAAGTCGTGTTCGCTCATTTTATTTTTTATTTGAGGAAACAAAATTTTTTCTATTTAATACGAGCCTAAAAGGCGCAAAATAGAAAAAATAGTTTGTAAAAAACTCGTTTCATAAGTCGTTTATGACACTCGTGTCATAAATCATGCCTTAGGAAACTAGTTTTTTAATAATACTGTTACGTAAATGTAGCTTTATTTATATTCGAGATAGATATACTTACTTTCCGTTTCGTCATCATCCAATGGTAAGTGAAAACTTTCTTCATCTGAATCTTTCTCTTCTCGATGCTTGTACGTGTCAAAAACTTCTAGAGTGTTACTTAAAGTTGTCATTTTGGGTGGATTATCTATGCAGTGGTCCAAAGATGGCATCATAACTGAAACAAAAGAGTGGAAAATGTAAATAATAATTGTGTAAAATGTGCATTTCGATCAATAAACAACCCACTTTATGGAAAATGAAGCATCCTAAACTTGACAAGTTTGACAATTGACACAACAAATTATAACAAGAGACGATTAAATGTCAATTTTATAACAACCAATTAAAAAGACTTTCAAGCAAACTGAAGCAAATGCAAATTGATTTTTTTATAATGTAATTTGGCCTGTTAATTAAATGCCAGTTTTTTGACGTTGTCTTTGTCACAATTTACAAATTCATAAACTCCTATCAAGTTTTTCCATTTTGTTTTTAACACTGACTATGACATTGCACTGCCAAAACCACTAAATAAGACAATTCTTTTGATAGTTTTCTAACCTTTTTGAGAACAACCTCTGAAAAATTTTACAACTTTGTTTTTGACAGTTTGCGATTTAATGCACTCAAGTGTAAATTTGATCCACGTTTGACATTTAAAGACCTCTTTCCTACCCACAAGCACACTAACAACAAAGAGACTAAAAAATACAGTATTGTAAAATACTTGTCAAGTTGTAAACTTCTGTGTCAATAGTCCCTAAAATTAGATTATTTTAAGCTAGTTTCCGTATTTTTTTCTTACAGCGACATGTCATTAAAAATAAAAAGTTACGTTTCACAAAAACGGAGATAAAAATTTTCTTTTAAACTGTTAATAAAATTTAAAACATGGTCGGATTATCGATGTTCTACTGTAAATACAGTGACTTGTGACTTTGTCGTGTTTGTAAACCCGAAACTTTAAATTTGATAATGAAAATTAGATTTTTACATTTTTAAGATGATAATTAAAAAAAATTATAATACATACCACGTGGAACAAAAAACTAGGCGTTAGCGCTAACAAAAAATACTCAATTGTAAAAGAATCTTAATAAGACAAATTTTACATAATTGACTGTCATTTTTGACAATTTACTTGACACTGATGACAACTGACTACAATCCTGACAATCCCGTCAATTTTTTTACACGCAATAGATAGTTATTTACGCATCAAGGGAATAAACAACTATTTTAATCCCAAGAGTGTTAATCCCTGATCGAAAGATGCACACAAAATTTTTCTTGCAACAGACTAAAGTACTTCCAGAAATATTTGGAAACAGAAACGGAGACAGAACTTTTACAGCGGGATACAAATTATCAAATATTTCTATAAATATATTAAATATAAGAAAATTACAAATTTGTTAAAATATTCAGTCATTCAATTGCAGTGTTGAGTAAAAATTAGTATTTCATTCATTTTATTCCCGAGGGAATATTAATCAAAAAAGTATAAATAAAGCATCATTTTATTCCCGGTTGAGAGAAAAAAAGATAATTAGATTGGTTGTCATTGTCAAGTGATTTTTATTGATAACATAATATTTAGGTACAGTTGTGGACAAAAAATCTGGGACAATCAACATTTGCTCAATGTGTATTAAACTTTCAAATTGTCTCTCAAAATAAAAATTGATAACAATTTAAAAATGACCCTTCAAGTTTTTTGAATCTAGAGAGATACTAGATCACTTGAGTTATTTATAAAACCTTTGTAAATGTAGACAGCATTAAAAAACTAATCTTCAACATAATGTTTGTGACAATATGTCATAACTTATATAACTTTATTTGTAAAAAGCCAAATTTACTCGATGTAAACTTCTGATTTTTTGATTTACACAATTGATTTCATAAAAAACTGGAGAATGACAGTAAAATAAACATCATTTTATCACTATTTTTCATAGATTGTTACGGAATTTAAATAGCGAGTTTAAAATATCATGAGGTGGAAGACACTTGATAAAAAGATAGGTTACATCATTTATACCTTTCATTTTGCCACTTTAACTTAATTTTTTCAACTGTAGGGCCAAATTAGGCCTTGTTCTTCTCTATTTCAAACTATTAACTTCAAGAGGCAAACTTGATAGAAAATCAACGGTGTCATAATTGACACTTGTGTCATTCATTACGGCCATTAGGCGTCAGTTTTGCAGCTTGTCCCGTTTTTTATGAAACCAGTTGTACATTATACTATTATTATTAACCTCTCTCATCATGCGTTTTAAGTTAATTGTCATCAATGTCAACAAATTCCATGTAAAAATGTCAAAAATACAATCAGAAATTTTACCGAAAGATGCACACATAATTTTTCTTCCAACCGACAGGTACTTCCAGAAATATTTGAAAACAGAATCGGAGACAGTACTTTTCTTGCTATTACAACGGTATGCAAATTATCAAATATTTCTAGGACTACTTTAATTTATAACAAAAAACATAAGAAAATGATAAATTTGTCAAAATATTCAGTCATTCAAAAATTGGTACTTCATTTATTTTATTCCCGAGGGAATATTAATCAAAAAAGTATAAATAAAGCATCATTTTATTCCCGGTTGTGAGAAAAAAAGATAATTAGATTGGATGTCATTGTCAAGTGATTTTTATTGATAACATAATTTTCAGGTACAGTTGGTGGACAAAAAAACTGGGACAATCAAAATTTGCTCAATGTGATCAAACTTTCGAATTGTCACTCAAAATAAAAATTGATAACAATTTAAAAATGACCCTTCAAGTTTTTTGAATCTAGGGAGATACTAGATCACTTGAGTTATTTATAAAACCCTTGTAAATGTAAACAGCATTAAAAAACTGAACTTGATGTTTGTGACAATATGTCATAACTTTTATAACCTTATTTGTAAAAAGCCAAATTTACTCGATAAACTTCTGATTTTTTGACTCATACAATTGTCATGTTTGTCCCAGTTTTCTATGTCCAACGACTGTACAATTTGTTTCATAAAAAACGGGAGAATGACAGTAAAATAAACATCATTTTATCACTATTTTTCATAGATTGTTACGGAATTTAAATAGAGAGGTTAAAATATCATGACGTGGAAGACACTTGATAAAAAGATAGGTTACATCATTTATACCGTGCCATTGTAACTTAATTTTTTCAACTGTAGGACCAAATTAGGCCCTGTTCTTCCCTATTTCAAACAATTAACTTCAAGAGGCAAACTTGACAGAAAATTAACGGTGTCATAATTGACACTTACAGTCATTAGAAGTCAGTTTTACATGATGTAAATTAGCATGTCCCGTTTTTTATGAAACCAGTTGTACTTTATATTATTATTATTAACCTCTCGCATCGTGCGTTTGAGGTTAATTGTCATCAATGTCAACAAATTCCATGTAAAAATGTCAAAAATACAATCAGAAATTTTAAACTTGTCAATTGTAGTGTTAAGTATTCGCATTTTTATTTTGACTTAAATTTTATTGTGTCACCGAAAAAACCTTTTTGTGATAAAAGTTCGATAACATGGTGAACAAATAAATCTAGACTTTCACGTTTTAATTTCCGAGTTATTATTAGTTTTAACGCCGAGTTATTGGTTAACTTCGTTAACGGTACGGAACGCTACGCCCGTCGCCCCTCTCTCCCCGCCATGTCCCCATCCATTATGTGATTCGCTTTGCACTATGCCATTCACAAAAGTCTCAACTATACATATAATTACCTCGATACTTTACCAAACACCAAAAAGTGAGGAGTACTAAACCCGAAATTCTTTCATTTCACTAAACTCGAACAAGGTCGCCAGTTATAGAGACTAGAAGACTGCAGACCGTATTCTACATTGCTGCATTTCTAGTTAAAACCCACAATACGCTTGCGCACAACCCACCGGGGAGACGGTCTTGGTCTCCAAAATGTAAAAATTTTATCACATCATCAGGGATCTTAGCCCGTTTGTTCAAACCCAGGCCAAGAACTGAGGACCGTAATGAAAAAATTTTGGCCCAAAGGGCAAAAATTACAAGTCCGGGAACAAGCCGTGAGGCTGCAAGAACCGATCCGAGGTGTGGGATAAACGCCAACTATGACGCTCGGCCACAAAACCTGCAAAACGATCATTGGGTCGTCTATAAGCCAATAAAATTTCCCGATTTCAATGTTTTCGATTCACAATGTACTCATTTAATATAGGCCCCTCGAAACAAAAGTACAAAATAAAACATTTCTTAGCCTTTTTACGCAAACTACCAAAAAATAGTCGTGAGATAAAAGAAAAAGTTGAGACAAACAAAAGAAAATGGGCATGAAAAAGGCACCCAAAATCAATACATGCGAAGCTGACCAAAAAAAATCAAAAGTCAAAAATATGAAAATTTCAGAAATGAAACGTCGAAACGAAAAAATCGTTAGAGATGTTTGAAGGTCGAACAGCATTGGTCGTGTACGCATGCGTACCAACTTGACCTCATATTTATTCTCTCGATTCTTGTCTGACCAATTTGACAAAACTCATGAAAATAAGAAAATTCAAGAATAAAAAACCCACAAAGAAAAACATAATGTACCCATTTCGATATAATTACAAAATTAACGACAAAGATCATTTCCTTTCTTCTTCACATAAATTTTGGGGGGCTGGGGGGAGGGGGGTTGTTTCAAAATTAATAAATTTTACTATTTAAGTCGGAGATATAAAAAAACAAGATAATAAATATAGTGTATAACACGCGTAAAATGATCGATTGTAAAAATGTCAAAATTATTATTATTACGAATGTCAGCAATTAGACCGCCAAAATTTGAATATT